GGATTCTATAAGATCGACATTTGCTCATGATCTGTTTTAGCTACCGCTTACAATTGCGTGTGCTCGCGCGAGCACCTACGATCTGATGTTTACAGACGTTTACTGCTAAGAAAATCACTAAACAGCCGTCAAAGACAGCCTCCCGAGCTCATCTTAAAAATCCTACACATGACTTCTGGCTATATCATATTATTTTCCTTAAAGTTTCAAAGTCTTCTTCCACTTCAGGTAGATTATCCTTCACTTGAGTTCTRCTTTTTTCGCCGTCGCAAGATTTCATATCGGTTGAATATTTCTTTTTCCATTTGTCTTGCTTTCAAAAATGCCGAAATCACGAAATTAGATTGAGCCATAATATGTGTGTCTGTTACATAAAAATTTCGACCGTCCTCCACTGATAATATTAACCTTAAGCAAACCACGACGGCGACAGCGACGGCGACGGCGACGGCAACGAGGCCGTGGAAAAACAAAAGATATAATTGGCAGAACAATAGGTTAGCAAGTGCATTTTAGAACTTAGTACATTTCTTAGCCGTCCTTTGCAAAACAACAACTTGAAATCACCAAATTTTGCGCCGTCTGCGAACCGAAACCGCGACGGCAAATTATTTAAATTCCCATTTGGAACTCAACGCTACTTTTACACGTTATGTTGTGGTTGAGTTGGGGCACTGTATGAGATGGTAGACACATGCAGTCATTTTCAAAATTTTAATTAAAAGTGGAAATTCATTTTTTAATCGACGTCTTCCTTAGCGTTGCCGTCCTGACTGCTTAAGGTCCCTATTTGCCCCAGTGACGTCGCCAGCTCAAAAAACAGAATTTCTAACCCAACAACGAGTGCAACGACTTTCTCATCTTTTTCCTCTTCGTCCTTGCCCTTAAAAATCTCGCCAACAACTCAGGTTAAGCCTTTAATTCTTTAAACACTTAGATGTTGAAAGTTTTCCAAATAATTTTTGCATACTCTTTTACTTCATTGAGGTGTTCAAACATTATAGATTGGCACACTTTTTGAAAGATTATATCTGAATGCTTCTGATGAAACATAAAATTGTCAAAGCATTGAAAAAATGAATGGATCTATGTTGCCTTTTTCACTCACACACAGTAAAGACTTTGTTGGTTACATCTACAGGAAAAGTGAAGGCGACCTCGTCGTATGAAATAGGCAGTAACGTGCACGCAGAATTACCCTCTTTATCCAGTACCATGCAGCCCTTCCTCACAGCAAAACTGAAGATAGCATCGTCTAAAAGAAGCAGTGGCAAGCATGCGGAATCAACACCTTTATCCAGCACCAGGCAGCCCTTTCTCAGAGGAACGCTAACGTTAACCTCGTCTGAAGGAGGCAGAAACGTGCACAAGGAGTCACCCCGTCTTTTAAGCACCATGCAGTCCTTGTTCTCATCTATTAACTTGACGAGATTCCGAGGTAATTCGATGATATTTTTCTTACTTCTGTGTTTAAGTTGAAAGCATTTACTCTACAATTGCAAACCAGGAGCGAGAGGACTCGTAGGGGTTTAAGTCTACAAAACTAACCCTGTCCTCGAAAAGGCTTCTCCATGTCATCTCTATGTTTTCATCTGATGTCTTATATATCAGGGTAAAAATGAAATACAAGAATTAAAATCGAAAAAGAAGCTTCAACTTTATTGGTTGATGCATTGTTTGACTGTTGTTTCTATGTATGCAGATTGTTGAAACGCGGTCGCTAGGAAGTGGCCAGGAAAATAATAGTTTTATTCAAGGAAAAAATCAACAAAATTAGAAACGACGTTTTAAGGCTTTTATTTTCATTTACCTGTGTTCAATAGCTCGGCAAAACCATCACTAATTTTTTCTTTTATCAAATAACTTCTGAAACTCATTAACCAAACCATCGACAGAAATCAGTAGCAGTAAACCTCCGTCAAAAGCGATGGATAAAGGATCCCCCTAGACTCGAGGTGAATTAAATTGAACAGTTTTGATTGTAGTGATGTATTGAAGACTATATTTCAACACCTATGTGTCGACCGCTGACAAATGCAATTGCGGGAATGTTGAGTTAAGTAAAAAAACAAAATGGCACCTATGTGGCACCCTAATTAGATCTTAAATTAACGTAATGGCTAAAAAAAAAAAAGCATCAACGATATCAACAACAACAACAGGAACTACTTTCTAAAAATCCAAGGTTCAAAGCTGGTTTTTTTCTAAGGCTTGAATTTCACCTACCTGCTGTATCAGTAGCCTTACCACAACATCAATGATTTTCTCACTTAATGTATCACTGACTTCTCTCATTTCCAGGCCAGCGATCATCCACAGTCACGCCTTTACTCATGATAAACACATCTTTAAAACCATTGACTGTAATCAGTGTCAGTAAACCTACGTCAAAGGCTATTGAGGAAAGTTCCCCTTCTACTCCAGGTGGGTTACATCGATAAATAGTTTTGAGTATACTAAAGGGTGAGTAGCATCTATAAAAGTTTTTGTGTGTACTAAGGACTATATTCTAACAAGCATGCGTCAACCGTTGACAAATACAATGGCAGAATCATTGAATCTACTTATTTGAAGACTTGGCTAAATCGATAAATATCACTGTGATTAACACATATCAAACTTTTCGACATTGGCTACTTCTTTGTGAGAGTATATTATTGCATTTTCTCTGATGGAGAGAGATTGTTAAAAGTTAAAAGTTCAATTTTGGTGTTTGCAATAGCGAGAAAGCAGAATTGAGTTTTATATCTGGGATAAACTCGATTTTAAGATTTTTAATGTTTTTAGTTATTAATAACTCGGTAGTATACTCATGGTCAGATTAAGTAACAAAGGCTGTCAGAAAGACCTTAGTGAATCTCGTCTTATCTAAGTAACTCACAGTAAGTATTTTCTCCTGCCATATTCGTATGTAGGTGTGACCTCTAGCATATCCTTATCAACACCAAGTACAGGAAAACACTTAAACTGCCATAGCGTTCATGAACACTGTATTAAAATGGAAAATGGATCCTGTCAGTCTTACTGTGTGTATGTGGACACGAACTATCGAGGAATGGATAAATGTGTTTGTAAGTAGTATGCGTTCGAAATGGTACTTAATTGCATGCAAGATAACACTATTCTAAAATGTTCGTAGCTTTGAGTATGTTTAGGAATATTATTGCTGGAAAATTATAACGACTAGAACTCCATCAACTTGGAGTAATTGAAGCGCGGTCACTCTTTTTGTTAGAGCAATTTAAAAGACGTCGTACGGAAGACAAGGGGAAAACTATAAGTTACTCTATGACGGGACTCACCGAAAAGTGCGATATTCAAAGTGGCCCCTGTTTTAGAATCGACAAGAACTAGACAAGCGCATGCAATATAGATACTCACTTTATAAAAATAGATTCGGGCTTTCCGCCATCGAGACATTTGAGGTAAGTATCGTTGTAAGTTAGTTATCTCTTCTCCTCCTCCTCTCGGTTGAGTTGAATTTAAAAATACGACGCCAATTGGCACAGTTAGTAGTTATAGTAATCTGTGTAATGAACTGCCTAGCTAGATCAATAGTTACTTTAAGTAAACTCCACTCATGTGGATAGTGCTTCTCATGTGTGCTGATTGGCTTGTTCGAAGGTCAATAACAAGTAAGATTCACTTCCACTTTGGTGAATAATTAAAAACTTTTGTGTTGATAATACTACTTAGTTTAATAATGAATAACTATTGTATTGATAATACCACCTAGGTGAAGGTATTGATAAATTGGCGCTACTCGAAGTAAAGATACTCTCCGAATCCAAACAGCCATTTACAGAAGACAGAGATACCATGAAACGTGATGAGGAGAGAATGTTCCAAGCGTCCATTCGATATGAGAGCAAAGAAATCAAAGCGCAGCTATCACTTGCTTGGTTCGTGAGAGATGTAAATGTTACGCCTTTTTCGATATCTACAAATAGGGCGCTAGTAAAACAAGATTCCTTGATTTGGAGTGCTCCAGCGGGATCGCTATCAAGGGGTCTCAAATTGATTGAATTCGAAGTTTCGCTCTTAAACTCAACTGCAGCGAAACGAGACTTTACTTTCATCAGAGTGGAGGAACCAAGTTTAATTGCCGTCATAAAAGGTGGTTCCGAAATCCTGGTTTCTTCCAGAGGGAAAGTTAACATCAGTGGAGGTGATTCCTTCGATCCTGGAATCGGTAGCACTCGTTCTTCTGGTCTGAGCTTTGAGTGGAAATGTTTCGATGGTGGATCGCTTGGGCCCACTAACATGCCCAGTGATGTCCGCACTAAAGTACTTCCGTCAGAGTCATCCAAAAAAAACGCACCTGCCTGCCTGCGCCAGGACGTAAAACAGAAAAAAGGACCTAAAATTGTCCTTCAGCCCAAAGACGGACACATATACTACATCCTGCTTGTTGTGCGAAAAGATAGCCGCCAGTCTGAGTTTCTACAGACTGTTCATGCGGTAGATGAAGATATGATAAAAGTGCAAATCAGGTAAAGGTGCAGATGAAAAAAACCAGCAATCCAATTATTTCTATTTGAATTTATGAATATTTGAATTTACTATTCTAACTAATCCAACTAAACTCCCAGTTACTCCTATCCCAAGTTTTTGGTTTTCGTTTGAGACTTAATTGCTATAAATTTCTTGCAATTTATATTTTATTCAGTTGACCAAAAACTATCTAGTTTTGACAATGCTCTGATTATGTACGACTATGGATTGACATTTTCTTTATTAACTATTCCAGGATATAGATTTACACAGTGTTATTAAGAGTTCGTAGTAAACTTGTATTCAGTAAGTTTCTTTCGTCTTCCTTCAGTTGCCTCTCAAACTGCAAAAGGGAAGTAATACCCAGTGAACGCTTTAGCTTAACAGCTAAATGCACCGGATTATGCAGACTGAAGAACACCAGCATTACATGGAAATTGTTCGAGAAAGGACACGAGAGCAATGAATCCATATCGGTGTGGCATCTGGAAGACTCCTTGAAACTTATGATATCGACTAAGCTTAGCTCGCGAAATATCGTTTTTAGACGAGGAAAATTGCTCGAAGGCTCATCTTATAGGCTCACTTTAACAGTACAATTACCAAATGGAAAGTATGGTTGGGCGGCGTACCAGTTTAAAACGGTCGCCGCACCGTCAGGTGGGACCTGTAGCGGGACGCAAGCAAGCGGAAAACCTTTAGGAATCTCACTTTATATCAACTGCACCGGATGGAATGACAAAAACAAGCATCTCACGTATGAGTTTTTCCATCAAGTCGAGGACGGCAATTCCCACTTGTTACTATACAGTACAGCACCGTTTGCCAATGTTCTGATACCTAAATTTGATGGCGGCGAGGTTGACATAAAGGTTGTCGTAATCAATTCGTTCGCAATGAGAACTGAAACTTCCATCAGAATCCAGGTAAGAGCAAATGAAATATAATGATGTTTTAGGTCATTTGTTAATATTGCACTTAAAGCTCGCGATGACCAGTAAGGAACATGACATTCACATGTAAGAAGCTACCGAAAGTTTTGAGTTATTATACGTGTTATTGAGAAAACCCTTTATGTACCTGAAACCTCGCAATACTCGTTTGTCAAAACATAGAAACATTAAGAGAAAAGAAAAATACCAATAAGGATAGATGATATCCATGAATGGCTAGCAGTAAAAAGTGTTGCAAATTACGAGCTTAACGTTTAAGCTTACTTTTTTGAGATGGGCAAACTTAAACGTGGCTCCTAAAGGAAAAGCAAACGCACAAAACGAAACAAAAATCAAATCTAGGATAGAATCACTACATGCAGTCCCTAAGTTTTATTTGTGGCTTCCATAATGTGCCCGACCGTAACTTGCCATGGAACATTTACGAAGCTATTGATCTTACTTTGTCGTTATCATTGTGTTACTCAACAGGTTACAAGCACATCAGGGACAAATTTTACTGGCGCTGAAGCTTCATTCAATAGATATTTGAGAGAAGGAGCCTTGTACGACGCATGGCAGGTTGCACTGGTCCTAACGCAGGCTGTTATTACGAATGTTGATGCTCATTGGATAAAGAGTTATGAGAAACAAGTACGATGAAATTCTAAACAATCATTGGATTCGTTTTTTTGTGATATCCGGAATATTCAAGGTCTAGTTAAGTATTATCAGCCTCAGCCTTCGGCTTCGGCTGATAACACTAACCGAGACCTTGATTATTCCGAATATCACAAAAAACGAATCCAATAATTGTTTTATTAGACATTATTTTAGTATTTCCGAATCTTTATCTTCAAGTAATTTCTCAATTTCTCGCTAGGTCGATGAAGCGAATCGAGAAGTCATTCTTACTTCGCTGTCCGTGAACTTGACATTGCTCCACCGGAAATCATGCATTGCACGCGCAACCTACAGATTATTCACCAATCTGTAGGTTGCGTTGTTTCCCAGAATCAACCGTAGGCGTTTAGCTAATTAGAAGACAAATGGTGACTACAATGTACAATAATCTCTTTAACCCTGCCAGATCATGATTAGTCATTTCTACAACTCCCTGCAACTTCCTATAACAAAATTATATGGTGACAGTTATTGCTATTGGCCTTAACAAGTATAGTAAGCAATTCATGAAATAAACAACATCTGACCTTCAGATGAAAAATTACGTAAAATAATGAACCTTGCTGGTGAGATGCAGTTTAGATAGCCGCAGAATAGAAGGGAAAAAGGAAAAAAGAAATGAGTCTTCTTTTCTACAATTGTTTAAGTTGCAATCCTCCAACGAGGTTATTTTTTTCCGATTCCATTTTGGGGGAAATTGAGGAAATGCGTGATCGAAAACAAATGTAAGCCACAGCACGAAAGTTGCGGAGTCATTCAAAAGCTTTATTCCAAGGCATCATGTCATAGGGAGTAACTTTATATTCTGTAATACTTTTTTTTTCTTTTGTAGATTAGCGACCACATCTTTCAAGAATTATCAAATTCCAATGCAACAGATATACAAACCGTTCTCCTGTTATTGTCGGTCTTAAACTTATCAACTTCAAATCCAAAATATTTATCTTCAGCAACCATGGTAAATATTGTTGACCTTTAAGATTCTCATCTTCTATTCGTCGACTAGAAAATAATCCATCAGTTTCTATACTATAAGTTTCGCAATTTCAACCCCGTCTTAAGTGTCTTAATGGAAAAAATCTCGTGTGAGCCATTCAATCAAAGGCCCGAACCGTGTGAGCTACTTGAATTCCGGAAGAACTCAGCAAAAGCGATTTATCCCGAGTCCCCCCTTTCTTAGGAATTCTGGTAAATTTTAATATTATTCTTTTTTGCTGAAATGTACTAAAACTTCAGCAGCGCACATGAAAAACACCTTCTTTGGCCGCAAATTGAAACCTCCTATTTTGTTACAAAAAGAAATGAGTATCTCGATGTACAGAAATTTCCTAAAAAGGAAACTATTGATCTTCTATTGAAGTATCATTCCAAGACCTATTAGTTATTATTTATGTCCGTTGCGGTTTTTCTTGCTTTTTCATTATAGCAAACTGGATTAGTTATCCTTGAGAAATGGGTGGAACTAATAGACAGCAGAGTACACAGAGGTAACGGAAAAGACCGTGCTCTCGATAAAGATGCATGGCCTCTTGCACTACACTGTTCTGGGAATATTCTGCACGCCACCATACGTAGAGTTTCTTCCTCTACGAAAGAACGAAAAAAGGTAGATTGAAAAACTTAAATATACCTAAGACGCTCATTTGGTTCATGGTAGAAAGTGGCATCCTTCTGATTTTTTCACAGAATGTACGCAATTTTATTACACGACTCGGGCAGTCAGAGGGCCAATAACTAAAATCAACCAATCAAAATGCTCTATTTCCGGTCCAATATTCTCTAAATATTGGACCGGGCACTTTCCCGAATGGTCCCGAATGATACCGCACTTGTGTCCCTTTGAACTTCAGTCGTATAATAAATCTCTTATTAACCAAGCTTACTCGGTACCGTACTGGAAGAATATCGGCCCTCGGTCTTTTTTGCACGGACCTCGCTGCGCTCAGTCCGTACTGTCAAGACCTCGGGCCGATATTCTCCCAGTACGGCCCTCGCGCGTGGTTAATAAGATATATATCTTTGGTTATAGGAGGATCAAAGATATTGATGAATATCGGTTTTGAATAAGGAATATAAAGCTAGGAAAACGGATTCGCAAAATAGGCTCTGCTCTCAAGATAATCCCCTCTAATTATTTTTTTGGAACTCGCTTGCTTTCGAAGACCTTTCCAATAAAATAATCTCAACTCGTAAAATCTCTTGCTCACATTTCATCTAATCCCTCCCGCTACCAAAGTAACAGGGGAATAAGGCGAGCACATGTCTAGTTAACAGGTTTTCGGTAGACCTGATACCTCGAGGTTGATAATAGCAAAATCCTGTGAGAAGGTATCCTCTCCTTGGTTAATGTGCTCGTGCCTTTCGCCTTCATGAAAAGAAAACGCCCCTTTTTACATGTAGCTTGCGGTCGAGAAATGTTCTTCTTACAAGCAGCAAGTCATACTCAGGTGTCGAATCATCAGTTATCCTTACGGAACCGCTTTAATTTGAATTGTGCCTAGATACACCTGCCTACGGCCTCGCAATATTCAAAGTGCAAGTAAAGTGATATCGCAATGTCCGCCTACTGATTCTGGCAAAGCGCTAATAGCCACATCAAATAGACCTTTCTTATCGAAGAATATTCAAACTTTTAAAATGATTATTTCAAAGAGTGTACCTTTTCTACTCCTTTATCTAACGAGTAATCTACTTAAATATCTTATAAATATTCTTACCTTTAAGTTGCAAAAGATACAAAGAAAAGCGCTGGATCTAAAAGAGTCAATGGTGCACTCTGTAATGTCATCGAAGCTCACTGGAGAAGAATACAGCGTCATGAAAACTAAACATAACACTTTAATCCTTGGAAAGCATGAAATTCACGAGATGAGCGATCTTCGAGTGGAAGATGACAAGGCAAGCTTTTTATTCCCAGAGATGAGTGAAGCCATGACAAAGAAATTATTTGGAAAAGCCAAGGATGTGCAATTTCAGGTACTGCATAAATCAATGGGAAGATGGGTCAAAATCTACGACATAATGGTTTCGTGTTAGACTTGGATTGAAAGGTTTATGTTTGGACACTTTTACCGGCCACAATTCACAATTACAGGCCACACAAATACCGGCTACTATTACTTGACAATCATGCGATGCTTTAAAACTCACAAAACTTATGAAGTCACGCAATTTTCCGAAAACTGATTGTTTTCAGCGAATAATGGGATGTGTTAGTTCATTATAATCAGATCGATAACTGTGAAACTATTTAACCCGTTTTGTAGTACGAGTCATCTTCGGGCTCCGCATGATTCAAATTTATAACTAAATGATAGAAACAGCAATTGGTTTCAAACCGATGGTCATTCAAATTAAAATAGTAAGAACACTTGCCTTTTACCAGATCTTTCGCCGCGTATTTCAGAACAAATGTCGGTAAATTTATTATTACTAAATGTCATTTTCCTCTTGACTCACGTTCAAGATGATCACCTACGCAGCAAACCCATACTCAATCCAGCAGCCGGCCAATGAAATCAGCTCAGAAGTGCTCAGTCTCACACTCAAAGATGATAACGGAAACGTAATAAACATATCAGACCTGGCCTCAGAGATCGCCTTGAAAGTACCAATAAGTGAAAAGATTGGAAATGAGACACCATCAGTCGATGAGTACTCAGTCCCGGACTTCATGCTGTACCGTGATTTTACAGAAATTCATGGCAACAGTAAGATCAAACTGTCCTTAAACTTACAGAAGTCTGCTCTATTTGAAATGTATGTTAAATATGGCGCTAGACCTTCGAAAGAGGACTTTGATTTCTTCACCACTCTAGACAAAAAGACTTGCCGGGATAAAACTAACATCTGTGGCAATGTAAGCCACCACGTTTGGTTTGATGCCGAGCGCAAAGGGAAGTATTTCATTGGGCTGCTTCAGAAAGAAATATCGACAAGAAAGAGGAGGTCAACAGCAGCAGTGGATTCTCTTAAAGAAAGTTTACAAGTGAGTCAAATACCAAAGAAAAGGATAGCGAGATCTAATTCTGAATTGACGCGTTCTAATCAAGAATTGTGTGTAAAGTTCAAGAATCCCCCAGAAGATGAAACAACCATGAACGAGACAATCGACTTGCCTCCATATGATCCTGAAAAGTCCGTGAACTTTACAGTAGTAGTCGACTCAGTTGGTTGTCGGTATTGGTCTGAGAGTAATCAACAGTGGTTGAGTGATGGATGCAAAGTAAGTACCTGATATACGAGGCCTTGACAAGATAGCACGAGAAAGTAGAAATGTATCGTTCCAGTGAATTAATCCTTTTAAGTATGATTGAAGTAATAAATGCTGAGAAGGCAAGTTAATGAAACTCAACTTACAGGAGGTATGACGGGGGCATGGGGGTCTCCGGACGGGGATGGACTCGGCTGTTCTGATGGTAGTTATTTATACATATATCAAGGGTTTTCATATGAAAAATAATTAATCTGTTTTCGAGATAATATGACTCTTTTTCACAAAAAGGGCTTTTGTACTAAGCCTAGTTTCCTTTTTCATTGCTGGGTTTCTTAAAAATCGGTAATAGTCAATTGCATGTCAGTGATTCTCATAGATGTGACGCTAGTGACGGTCTTGATAATCAGTCATAATCAAACAATACGACCTTTACATGTTGAAGAGTTATAAAATCTATGCCAGAAATACTCCAAAGAAGCTGATAGCCATTATTTTTCTTAGGCAGGTATTAATTCCACCTCCACTGCCCTGCAGTGTCTTTGTAACCACCTGACGTCATTTGGAGGGTATTTTGTGGTGACACCAAACAGGCTAGACTTTGACAAAGTGCTGAGATTTAGAAGTGACGACCAAAAAGATTACATCGTCATTATGGCAGTATCAGTAGTCTTTCTTGTGTACTTCATCGTCTTAATCCCAGCCCGGAAAGCTGATAAAAGGGATCTTGAAAAGGTTTGTCACTAAAAAGCCATCTGGGAATTTTCATGTGTGCGTCATAAGAGAAGACCGATTCCAAGCGCCATGATCCTGGGTAAAATATCATTGCTGTCCAACCATTTTATTCCTCTAAAATTATTTTCTGCTCTATTAGACTGCGTGCTCAGTGGCTAAGTTATGTATGAGGAGATAGTTCATAAGGTATAATGAGCTTTCACAGAGGTAATTCCCTGTTTCATTATTTAAAGAAAGGACTGTAAAATAAACATATACCGCCACAGGAAGAATTGGTGAGGTTAAGAAATTAATAAAACTATAGGAAAATGACATTATCCCTTGTGCTCCAAGGTTTTGCGGTCAAAGTTAACTGCTTGGAAAAATTCGAAAGCACACTACGGTAGTAATATGAACAAGTGCTACAAGACAGGTGCTCACTAAGGCTTTTCTTCATTGACTATCATTAAACTAACATCAAACTCATCTATGGACTGAGAAATTACCCTTATTCCCGCAATCTATCTTGACTTTTGTTGTTCCTCTTCAGGTGGGTCCTCTTGTGCCTCTACAATCTCCAGTAGGATCCCATCGATACAAGCTCTCGATCACTACAGGGACGTGGCGAAACTCAGGCACCTCTGCCAACGTGTCGATAAAGATTTACGGGACTGAGTCCTCTAGTGGTATCATCAAATTATCTTGCAAAGATGAGGAGAGTAGAAAACCTTTTGAGCGAGGAAATACTGATAACTTCCTTATTGCTATTGATCGACCAATTGGCGCGCTGATTAAGGTTTTCATTGGCCATGACAGTTTTGGTGAGGAACCATCGTGGTTCCTGAACGAGATCTCTGTAACAGACCTTCAGTTGAACTGCTCATGGACAGTTCCTTGTTTTCGTTGGTTGGGCTTGGAGCTAGAGGATGGGAAAACGACCCTAGAACTTTATGCTGAGACTGCAAAAAGGTGCTATGACTTTAAAACTCAGTTTAATAACGTCAATAATTACATGTTCGCCAACGAACACATGTGGTTCTCGATAGCTACCAAAGATCCAAAGGACGTGTTTACTCGAGTGGAACGAGTAACTTGTTGCTGTTTCTTTTTGCTTTGGGGAATGCTCGTATCTGCTATATTCTACCAAGGAGATGTTGACAAAACGAGACCTATTCAAGTTGGACCTTTTAAAATGACAATCCAAGAACTATCAGTTTCTGTAGTCACGGCAGTGATCGCTTTTGTACCCAGTTACTTCGTCGTATTTCTATTTCGTATGAGTCGACGTCCAAGAGTAGCAGATGATGAGGACTTTTACCGTGACAGCGATAATGGCACAAACAGGTCATTCAAACTCCCTCACTTGGGCATCTACATCGCCTGGTCATTTTGTGTAGCTGGCTCAGTGCTATCTTCAGTCTTTATAATTTTCTTCTCTCTGCTATGGAGGGGAGATAAGTCATCGCGGTGGTTGGCATCTGTGTTTCTGACCTCAACCGAGGACATATTTTTTTCCCAACCCTTGAAGATCGTAGTCATTTCTGTAATTCTGTCCCTATTATTTGCGCGCAAAAGAATTCAGACACGAGAAATCATTAACAGCGCTGAACTATCCAAATCTGATGACAAATCTGAACTATTCAGCATGACTGAGAAAGAGATCGAGGAGCAAAGGAAATTCAGAACTACTGAAAGGAAAACGAACTTATTTGCGAGAAATATAGTGTTTTCGAGCGTCTTCCTTGTTCTTCTCTTGATAGTGTGCTATGGAGACAGAAGTGATGAGCGATTTCACCTGACGGAAGCTACACGCAATGCCTTTACAAACTTGAGTCAGGTACGAGATCACAGGTCCTTGAATATAAAAAGGTCTTGATTCTTTCAGAATCAAGAAACTTTCAGAAACATCTTAACAGCCAATATTCCAAGGAAATTAACACCGTAGATAAGGTATGGCAATTTTACAATTCGAAATTCGGTGGCGATGAGATTAACTAAAAGCTCACTAATATCCAAAACCAAACGAAACCATCGATATCTCCTGCATCAAACTATCTGCTGATCAAACATCTTATATTATAAATTATACAGGTCAAAAATACATCACGGCTTTGGAAGTGGCTTGACGACGTTTTGATCCCAGTGGTCTATGCTGGCGAATGGTACAATGGTCAAAAAGAGCCAAGGACTGTCTATGCCGGTAACAAGCGCTCCATCGTTGTAGGCATGCCGCGTCTACGACAATTGAGGATTCAGAAAGGTATGCAAAACGACAAAGTGTGTTTCATTCGATTCTAATATTCCATGGCCTCCTTCTTCAGTATCAAAATTGGTGACGCAGTTCGCGGTTATACTTGAGTCATTAACTCCTAATCATACGAATTCAGTGCTTTTACGCCCTCGATTTCTCCGTTATGGATATGGCTTCATTCAAGGTAGAGAGCTAATATAGCCCTGACCAAATACACTATGCACACAAAACTGGACTTTTTGGTCAGACTTAAGTTGATGTCTTGAAACCTGTATTATCTTGCATACTTGTATGTTGCGTAATTACAGCGAATCTTATTAAAACTTACCCCTTCACGGGTTCTGACCCGAGGATTTCCTCTTTTCTGTCTAGGATAATCTACTACCACGTGAACTTAAAGGATTTAACGGTTGCCCTCCGATTCTTACGCCTTCCCCCCAATCATCCTTAGAGATCTCTGTTAAAACAAACCAATTTTCAAACAAAACAGAACAAAGAAACAAAAAAGGGTGCGCGAAGGAGGAAGGAGATGCGTTTTTTTCTCTCTTCTTTCCAAAGCTTGCTTCTTTTCGCAGTCGTCACCAGTCGGTAGGCAGAGCTTTCTCAAAACCCTTTAAAAGGGTATGGTGAGAGAAAGTTTCACTCACGTTGCCAACTTTTAGGATAAAAGTGGTTTACCTCTCTTCTTTTCCTCAGATTCATGTGCAGTACCTGGCGTTTTGGGGAATTGGGTATCATCGTGTTACGACTTTTACTCAAAAGAAAAGGAGGACAAAAAAGGTTGGGATATGATATCAAATAAGACTTCTATCCTTTGGATGAGTGTTGTGTGTCCGGAAAACTGGAAATACATGACTGAAGATGATGTTGGTGACTATTCAAGTTATGGAGTACACTCTACTTATGGCGGTGGTGGTTACGTGGCAAATCTGGGATACCTTGACTACACGGCTCGTCGAATTTTGCAAGACCTTGCAAAGAATGAATGGATTGATCGTCAGACTAGGGTAGTCTTGATTGAGTTTACCATGTTCAGTGTAGCCACGAACCAACTTGTAGATCTTGTGTTATATTTTGAGATGATTCCATCGGGATTTCTGGGATCATTTTTGAGGATCGAGGTGATTCCAATGACTAAGTCAGATTCCGCATCTACCATAGCGTACTTGACTATAAAGCTGCTGTTTGCATTCTTTCTTGGTTACTACACAGTGACTGAATGCGTCAGAGCTTACCGGTTAAAATGTGCAAACCTGAAATCCATCTGGAGATGGCTTGAAATGCTGCAAATTCTCAGTGCGCTGAGCGTCGTTATAATTTCTATTGAGAAAGAGAAGCGGATAACTCAAGCACTAGAGAACTTGAGTAAAAATCCATACGCCATAGTTAGTTTCCATGACGCGATATTCTGGTTCCAGATCGAAAACCACATGATCTGCATAGCAGTAACCATAGCCACGTTACGTTTTCTAAGATTACTCAAATTCAACAGACAAATTATAATACTTTTCCTTTCCATGAAAAAATCTGTGAAACCAATCTTGAGCTATGCAGTGGTGTTCTTCATTGTCTTCACAGCATTCGCGCATGCTGGGTCGCTCCTGTTTGGTCAAAGCGTCTACCTGTTTTCTTCTTTCTTTCGAGTTATTGTTTTACAATTTCGCATAGCTGTTGGGGCCTCCGCTCCGCGTAGAGAGCTCGAAGGTGTACATTCACGCCTTGCCAAACTTTACATGGAAAGTTTTCTTTTCTTTACGGTGGTGCTGCTTATAAACTTTTTCGTTGCAATCTTAAACGACGTTCATGCCGAGTCAACCAGCGCTGACAAGGACAACGAGGATATGGAGGTAGCGAGACGTTTGGTATTCAAGTTTTTAAAAATGTTCGGCATAACGAAAAACCAACCAAAGGTCTCTCCTAAAACGAAAAAGGAAGAAGAAAACGTCAAAGAAAACAGGCACCCAAGAGAAGGGTCCATTTCTAAACCAAACTCCTCTGCTAACCAGGCGGAGAAGACTGAGACATCAAAAGAAATGGACGTGAATTTGACCGATTTTGACCGCACAAATTCTAAACCTTTGAGACAACGGCGACGATCGATTCCAACAACAGGTGCTTTTCCAGTTTCAAAAAATTCCTCTCAGGAAAGCATAAAGAAGAAACAGGAATTCGTTTCTTCGCCTAAACGGAAAGCACGTGTATCAACTAATGTTCAGATCAGGGAAGTGAGTGCTCCGTCGAACGATTTCATCGGTCCTTCAATGTACTCTCGTAGCCTCTCAAACAAAAAACGGCGGGAAAAAGGGAGCACAAGTGAAGCAACTGTAAATTCATCCAAGAGAGTGTCAGTTGACGCGCCAGACGAAAACCACGGTACTCTAATACATTCTTACGACGCATCGCAGGAAGTATACGAAAAATCTAAGGATAAAATCAGCGATTTCGATGATATTAGTAAATGGCTCAAAAGGATCGACTCATCCTCTAACGCCTCAATGACCATTTCTGAGTTCCCTATCAAGATGTCAAATAATCCCAAAAGCGATGGAGGTACAGTCGATTTTGACAGACTGAGCAGGATATTGAAGTTAAGAGAAAAAGCGAGAAAGTTGAGAGAAACTGCAGGCGAGAGGAAAACAAAGGAACTGATACGTCAGGCCAAACAGCTTGACCGGCTCCTGTATTTGCTGGATCAGTCTGAGAGTATCTAGTTGCCTTAAGCTGGTTGTGGAACATAAAATAAGAACAATGTGACGCTTGCGACAAACGAGATCGAAGTCGAAGGGTGTCGCTAAAGCGTGTTAATGCTACGGGACTATCTTACAGGTCGTGTGCTTCAAGTACCAATAACCACGGAAAACCAAGGTTGACCGTTAACGGTGAATTAATGATGATAAAAGATTAGCGAACTACGATAGACAATCACGATCACGATCGTAAACTGAAATAACAATGCAATTTACTTAAAACGTTGCGTAACTCATGAACAAAAACGCTTAGAACAATTAACCTGCCCCCGTCGATAACGCGATCAAAATTAACAACAATCAACAGGAATACTCGAAAATCATAATAAGCTACATCAAAATAACTCGAGATTTAAATCGATTGTAAGATTAACAAAGTGGGCGTTCCTAGCTTAGCGTCTCATTCTTTGATTCGCCCCCTTTAGATTGAAAACAATAAATTGTATTATTGTACGACTCTGTACGTTAACGTGCTTCCACCCAAAACAAGAAAACTAGCAAAAAAGGAGGAAACTAGCAAAATTATTCACATATCGGTCCCGCTTGTGCCAAAGGTTAAGAACCAAAACGGCGAGTCGAACAGATAGAATGGACAAGGCGAAATACAATCATACACTGGCTAAAGGGACGTTAAACGAGGCTTTTATACGCGCGTGGGGACGCTAAAATATCTGATTAAAAACCAATCGAGAATAGACAACAACGTAACCACATCCGTAACTAAAGTAATTCGTAACAAACAAATCAAATTCCACTTAGGCTGAATGAATCGTTTGAGTATCCTTAACAAACAAGTTACCAAGAATTGAAATCCAAACGAAACGAGCAAGATAAAAAAAAAAAAAAAGAATATTTTAAACAAGGAGGTTTTCTCGCGAGCAAGCACCCGCTAAGCCTTGCCTTGGTTCAAAAGTACAAGAGAAGAGCGAAGGAACATGTGACCGATAAACGGCGGTTTAGTTGTGGTTGTCGAGGAAACGGCAGCGTAACGAGGAGTTCTCTTCTCTTTCTTTTTTTTCTTTGCCTGACCCCGTCATTTTTTGAGTTAACACTTTCACCTTGAAAAAATACAGCACAAATTTAATACAAAATATTTAGCAATTTTGCCATTAAATTATTTGGAATGAAAAAAAAAAAAAAAAGGGAAAAAAAAATTAGAGTTGCGCTTTTGCCACTCTGCAGTTTTTGGCTTTTTCTTGAAAGATCAGACCGAAGATTCAATATGGGGAATTTTCAGTGAAGAACACCAACACAAGTTACTATTACCTGTCTAACAAATAAGTCAATGAAATCATAAAAAATGAAAATATCAAATTAAGATAATGGACTTTTACTTAGTATTTTGAAAAGCATGACATTAAATAAAATTAGGCATTCGGTGACTGTACTTGGCTACTGATATGGCACAATTTATTTAGCATTGAACTAAAATAAAGGTTGCATGACACTAAAAGGTAGTGTTGCAGAAAATCTGTATTCACGCCACTGCTTCCCACAAATTTATTAGTACCCTGTTCCACAAGAGAAAGATGATTCAAGAATATATGCCAAAATCGTCAATCAATCAACATTCACTCGACTGGACGAAATTCCGCCAACTCTGCCACTTTCGTTACGGTGTGCATTTCGCTCACTATCATATAGGGGGCAAAAGCGACTCTAAGAACAAGGATGGGAACGTTTTAGTCGCTTTAAGCCTGAAGTCACTATAGGGGAGAACTCGGCTGGGAATCGAGTGCGAATGTCGAACTGCTAAAATATTCCGATACAAACAATAAGTAGCACCGAAAAACATCGGGTCAAAATTGAGTCAACATCGGAATTCTATTGTTCCCATCACTCACTCACTCACTCACTCACTCATCTCGACAACATTCGTGGCTTCGCCTCCTATGGGAGGAAGTAGCCACAAAAAGGACCCTGTATTTAAGAACGACCAGTACCGCAAAAAGTCACGAATACAATGAACGTAATATGTACCTTGGGTTCAATTTATTTATAAATTTATTAAAAGGGTCTTCCTTCAAATCATTAAAATATGTATATATATGACTATGTAACAATAAACGTTTCTTTTATGACACAGTAGATCAAGGGAAATTTATATTAAATAGACTTATTTAACGTTAACCTACTACATTTGATCGAGATCAGAGAACAACAGTTAGTTACAAATCGGCCCAAAGATAACTACTGTAGTTGTGGCAACATTTTATGTTCAAGTTAGTTAGACCAGAGATCAAAGAAGTCGAAAAAAGACCAACTAGGACAAAAATAATAATAATAAAAAAGACAACAAAAAGGACAACAATAATATGTCTACGTAACAACTTTTCGATAATTATATATCTAACTATATATCTAAGTATATATCTCTGCAGTCACATGAAACAATGAAACTGTAAATTACACTATTTTTGGATTCTTGTGAAATAGCAATAGTTTTTTCCTTGGAAATTGCCACAAATCTTTTTTCTGTACCTTTCAATTTGAAATCTGAAATTATGGCTTTCCACTTATGTCACACTTGAGGCATTCTCCTTTGAGTGCCTTTATTTTTTTTTTCCTTTAACCTTTACCCCCTGACGACAGTTTGCATATTCTTTATACCTTTTATATATCCAATTTCCGTATGGTGCTGTCAAGGACATTTGTTTAATATTCTAGTGATTCTTTTGGTGATCATCATTTCCTTTTTCTCTCGACCTTAACAGGGCTCAACACTACTTTTCAACTTACTAGCCAAGTGGCTAGTGACAACTTAAATGTTACAAAAATTTCAGTTTGTTTACTAGCCAAACTGGCCAGCGGCAAACGAAAACCACTAGCCAAAACTTTCTATTAGTCTGTGGCTACTTGGCTGCCGTTAATGTCTAGCCCTGCATAATTATTGATTCAACAGTGCTCCTGTACCAAGAAATTAGAAGGTAGCCACTGTTACGGGTTACAGGGGTTAAGGACACCTGAAGGTAAGCTTTGTTAAGTCTGGGGGGAGCCCTGTATAACAGGTGAATGAGCAAGGGGTTATGATCGAGGCTCACTGTGCTAACAAAGATTTACTGTCCAGCCTCTACAAGTGTCTCTTTCAATTATCTCTGTTACCATGTTTGTTTCATTCTTTAGAGGTCATTCATCGACCCTAACACTACTCGTGGCCCCCGAATCACTATGCTTCATTTTGCTCAACCAAAACGTCAGAGTGGAATCTAGACCCGTCTGCTTGGTAACCAGACCAGCCTACTTGGTTACTAGGCCAGGGAGGGGGTGTAGGAGGGGTGGTACCGGGTAGATAGACTTTAGAATAACTGCTACTTCTCTGGAAACTGCCACTGCGCGTGGCTGATATGGAGCCATATGAACGTGGTCTGTTTACCCTCGCGCTGGAAGCGGAAGGACTGAGTACGCCTGGTATGTTGTACTGACCACTGTTAACAGGAAAGTGTACCGTGTCAATGTGAGTTAATACAACTCTCTGCATGTGGGTCGTACGAATCTTCTTGTACTACTGCTGAGATTTATACGCTCGAAAGACCGAGAATTAATTTACATCCACACTCAAGTCTTCAAGCTAAAGCCTCTAGCATTATCACAGAATTGTAAGGGAATCCTGGCCTAACCAATTATGTTTATCATCTCTGAGAGAGGCAATGTGTTGGTGAAGCAATATTTAACAACACCTAACACTGACTCTCTCTAGAGGTTCAAGAGTTCTTGTGCCCTAACTTCAACTTCTCGATCATAAAAGAATGAAAGCAAGAGGGGTCTAGGTTAGGGACCTAGGTCTAGGTTAGGAACCTGACCGGGTTACTGTGTGACGTTCGTGAACAAAACACTTTACTCTCACTTCGCCATTTCGTCTTTTACACTCCAACATTAGTACGCATATTCTTTATGCTGTTATCGATACTGTTCTTTTGGTACTGACACGGAGAATTTGTTTAAGAATGAAACTCCTCAAGTTTGTGATCATTTCTTCTATTCCCACGATCTTTAAAGTTGATTCAGGGGTCATAGTGTAAAGAGAAATTACGTGCTTGTTAAGGGATCAGACGCCTGGGTGGGCAAGGCATTGTGAAAGTTAAATGTTGTGCTCAAGAACTCAGCACGTTGACTCAGTATGAGCTTGAGCCAACATCTTTCCATCTGACACGGAGAATTTGTTTAAGAATGAAGTTGTTTAAGTTGAATTGAGAATTTGAAAAAGTTGAAAAAGAGAATTTGTTTAAGTTGAAGCAGGTTCAGCCACAGAGCAGTCACTTCCCACCCATTTTCATGATACACAAGAGCAGTATTCATTATGCCAACCTACCCTCTAGTTTGTCCTTGTGAATCTGTCAGGTCCTCGTCCGAGTCATATCTTCGTGGATTATCAAAGAAATATGACTTCTTGTCGCAACTCTGTGAGGCTATACCTGATGGTCCCTGGAGAAATTTAAGGGGAGACATGTTAAAGATTTTCATAGAAACCACAGAAACATACTGTTAACAAGAAGATCGAATTAGTGCGGCGCGTGAAAAACTGACGTGACGTGTTAAACTGGCATGACAAGCAAGGCACTGGCGTGCCACACACTGAAACATTTTCAAATTTGTAAGGTGGCCACCAATTAGCTCTCATGGCTGTGTCATGCGTAACTGAAAGTGTTTATACAAAGCAACACATTGTGAATACATGTGTGTGCCAGTTAATAACCCCATAAAGGTTTGGAGGAGTTTTTTTATTTTCTCTACTAGAGAACACATGTACAAAAACATGTCATTGGAAAGGACTGAAAAAGGTGCCTAAGACCCTAACCTCATACTTCCACTACACATATTTAGAAGAACGTGTTACTGTGCCATAATAGTTGCTTGAAAAATGTATCCATAAACATGAATTCAAATAACTGACAAATGGGAAAAGATTGTTTAGTTTCACAAACCATGTCTCCAATATTCGGTCTTCTGACTCGAAAAAACAGTATAACCATGAAGGTTGGTAGAACCTCCCACACAATTAACACCACACCAAATGTTATAAACTCCACATCACGCATGTCGTCATGCACTTTGTTGCAGCCTTCACATGAAGAATTTTTGTAGTTGATTTCACCCTAGAACATACCAGGAACCAATGAATAAAGGAGGCAAGTTTCTAAAGAAACTGTGGTGCTGCGTCGGTGGGGGTAACAAGGTAATTTGGTAACATCAACTAGGTTGAAACTGTAACTTGGCCACCGTAAAGAATTAAAAAGCTGACATTTTGAGCATTCGCCCTTCGTCAGAGCAAAGAGCTAACGCTCGAAATGCTGCTTTTCAACTCTTTACGGTGGCCGATTTACAGTTTCAACTTAGTTGATATTACCAAATTACCAGGAACCAGTTGAATCTTTCACTCCTAAGATCTCCTTAGTGATTCTACTTACTGCCTGCTATACAATTCTTATGATGTCAGTTTGGTAAATAGTCAGGGGAATTATTAATAAGTTCTTGGGAGTGAAAAGGTGAATGTAACAATCTGCAGCAACAGCATCATGGCCATCGACCAAAAATTAATTCACATCCAGGGCCCAGTTGTTCAAAGAGTAGATAAAGGTATTCAATGGATACAATACAATCCAGCACATAAAGTGTTAACAAGACGTATTGCCTTAGCATCATCCACCCTTCGAACAACTGGGGCCAGACATAAACGTACCTCATCGGAAACATTAATCCAGCCATATCCAAATGAAGACAAATCATGAGGTACAGCAACTGCAATTAGGTTGTAAACTGCTCTGGACACATAGAGCAGGACTACCAGCCCACACAGTACTATGCCTTGTCTGGTTGTAGCACCCTAAAATGTAGATTGATATTAATTTTTAGTAACAAATACATAAAGACTGGACAAAAATAAAAACAACAATGTAATTATCATTAATTAAAATATTCATAGTACACGAAGTACCTGACCCTCCAGTAATACATTGACGGCTGGTGCTCTTGTAATCTGCAAAAAGGTGGGGAAAAAGTAAGAATGCTGGTGAGTGATTCAATGGGTCAGAAGTCAGAACATCAGCCAATCAAGTAGGTAGCCGGGAGGCAGTTAGTCAATCACACATTTTACACAAACTAATTTGAGCCACAAACATCAATCTTCATTTAGAATTCCCAAACATTACTTTTACCATCAAATTATTAACTGAGAAGACAACTTAAAATACAGTGGAACCTCTCCTTTGGGACACCACTAATGAAGAGAAACAAAGTGTTGTCCCAGAAAAATGTTCTTCTTATCTTAGTATCCATTACCTCTATTAGAGGGGCACCTCTATTCAGTGGAAAAGGACACTTTTTCTGGCTCCCAAGGCCTAGTTTTCAGGAGAAACCTTAACTACTCAAAACATGATTGACCCCAAATGCTAAATGTATACTTTGATCAATAATAACAACTTTTGAAACATGACCTTTTTCAATACTATACATTACTCAATGAGAGATACAAATTGGTTGCCTAAGGTTAACATGTAATTCAGCCACGTGATTTCTTTTGTGGTCAAAGCACTTAAACAGATTGTAGTTTCAGTTTTTGCGTGCCAAAGGTCACAGTGCATCAGGGGCAGCAATGGTTTGACATTTTTGCTTAAGTTGACTTTGTTCAAACCAATTCTTCTGACCCATTGCTTATATTTATCTAGCAGCCTGAAAAAAGTAAACATACCTTAATAATGCAAAAGCAGAGAACAAAACCAACAACAACAAAAAGAAGTCCATTTACAATGACCCTCAGCACAACTAGTTTGTCATGAGCATCTTGTTCATGACACACAACAGAGCTCGTGATGTTGAGAGCCAAGAAAACTATATTCACTGCAGCAAATGAACCAAGAAGATACAGTTTGTTGTACTTCCTGTTGGCAAGAACACAAGGTGCATATATCAAGATGACAAAGATGATTAATGTGTTAATAAGACTATAAATGTGTTAATAATACATATGAAAAAAATATCCATCTGATTGGCCGAAAATGAGTGCATTTCTTCATGTAACATGAATGCAAAGTTGTAACACAGTTAGCTCAATTGGTTAGAGTGCCGGATTGTGTTGTGCCGGAGGTTGAGGGTTCGTGCCCCGACTGGACCAATACTCATGGTCTTAAAATAACTAAGGAGAATTTGCTACCTTTCATCTATAATTATCAAGAAATGGATAGATATTCTAGTCTTCTCAGATAAGGACGAATAAACCGTAGGGCCCCC